GGCGTCAACAGCGATGACTACGATATTAGAAACAATGATATGAATTAAGAGTAAACAATTCACAATCAATGATATTTAAACAGGTAAGAAGGAGAGGAACTCATCAAATATGAATATGGGAGTGAGAGATTGAATCACTTTTACATTTGAAAGATTCACCGAAGTTGACAAAGGCTGCTGGGATACAAAATTTTCAAGACTGAATCATTATGACTAATGATAAAAAATGAACCAATCAAAGCATTTTAAAATTTCTGTTTTTCAAAACTAGAAAGTGTTCATCATGACAAAACACAAACAAAACTGATGATAGGAGTGGTTTTACTAACTATTTTCTAACCGGCATGAAACTTATTTTTGCTTGTTTTCTTTCTTTGTCTTCATATCACGCAGAAGGTCTCGTACTTCAACAAGCTGCGCTTGAATTCCTTGAAGATCGATCTTAATCTCCTCTCTCTTCGTTTTCTCATTTTTTCTCTTTTTCGTTCTTTTTCTCTTTACGCGTTATGGCCTCTCGCGCCAGGTAGGCACGATCTCTCTTAAAAGGTGCAGCAAAAAAAGAAAGACAGGGCTTTTACATTCCGTCTCACGTGCAAATTTTAACAAAATTTACGCCGTGGCAAAGTATCCACAAATCCCAAATCCCAGTTACAAGTCACAAGTCTAGTAAAAAAGTTGAGGTTTTCGCTCTTTCCAAGAAAAAAGAGAAACCTGAAGTTTTACGTTTTTTACAGAAATTTTCATCACCTTGTGCCTCAGGTGCATAGATACGCTTTCGGTGAGTCAGCATTGTTTCATGCTTCATTCTTATAGACACTAATTAACTCTTCGAACTCGTTTTTAAACAGAGTCTACCCTCCCTGAAAAACGACATCTCTTTTATACTAGTACACCTACATTAAGAAAAAAGTATCTCCCCAAAAAAAACCTTTATTGATACCTTCCTAAGACAAGTTAAGACATGTATTACTCACTTTCTCTTAGGTGCAAAATACAACCCATAACATCAACAGTTTAATCATTAAAGTACGTCCATGGCAGTTCCCCCTTTATAATCTATTTCCATACTCTAACCAATTAAATCTTTTCAATTTCATAC